GCAGTCGCACCCAGTGCGCCTTTATTAGAGCAGACCTCTCAAGGTACCTCGGATGCTCGGGTATGAAAACAGCAGAACTTTCTTTTATTACGTTCGGCCACTCCAAGCCCCACGAAGTAATGCGCACTAAAAAGGTAGCTTCGACTCTGATGCCAACGTAGTGACACAGCGGTAACTATGGAGACCTTGTAGGTACCTTGAGTTTGTACTGTCCCAAGCCTGCCGATCAATAGTAATGTTTTGAAACCGCTGCTCCAGAACTACTACCTCCTAGACAGCTGCCATTCTGCCCCTTGGCGCTCACAGGCGATGAGTCTGCTACTTGGGTCCGACGCCTATCGCAGGTAGCAACTGGAAGAATAAATCGCTTGTTCAGTGTTCTAAAGGCTGTGGAAACCAAGTTTCGATGAAAAACTTGGGGAACAATAGAAGCAGCGAAAAATTCTTTTAGCGCTTTATTTCTTAGTTGTAGTACAACTTCTCTACAAGACTCCAATGCTTCTGCGATGCGGCGTTTGAGCGTCATCAGAGTCATGCCATCTGTTAAGAAAAAGAACTAGGCTCCAGTGGAACTTCGGGCATTTGAACAGGGCATCGTCAAGGTAGACGGTTGCTACCACGTTCCACTAAAAATGGTAGTTTTGGGGATAAATTCACGCAGAAGACAATCAATAATTAGCGCCATGCGCGGCCCGCACGTGCACTCGAATAAAGTCGAGTGCACTTGCTGGCCGCCCATGGTCGAATACTCGAATACTGGTCGAAGGAACAGACTGAACTATTGAGGCAGCACGGCGCAGATATCACAGCGGATTTTAAAGAAGGACAGGCAAAGCGAGTTGAAGAACCTAGACCAAAGAGGAATGTTTATTCTACACATCATGCAGTCATCCGCCAGGATGCTGATTTGACAAAGCTTCGTGCTTGGTCTGACTCTTCATCGCAGGCGCTACGTCATCCCTGCCACAACGATGCCCTAGTAAAGGGTTCAAGGCTCGATGCCAATGCTATGCACCTGCTTATCGCCTTGTAGAGCCAACCAGTCGTCCAGTGGAAGTTCGTAGGGGGGGGGGGGGGGCTGGTGAAAGCGAATTATCCAATTGACAACAAACGCATCAAGACGGTCACTTGTGCAACAGTCTCAATGCAGAAGGCCTCCATGCTGCGAGCTGTGAAGTCTGTGCCTGCACAGAACTACAGCACACGTTCAATATGCTACAATAACTGAACGGAGTTTGCAGTGTGCACAGGAAAAAACGATATTGGGCACATCTTTCAGGTCGACTAGCTCCTGAAAAGGCAAATGAAGAGACTTTCAGTTACTACATAATCTAACTTAATAACTTTTGCGTGGTGCAGATTGACACAAGGGCAACGAGAGGACACGATACTAGCGCTACCATCAAATAAATGCTTTATTCCGCAAAGGAACACATATTTATTGATGCTACAATACGCTGTACATGCCCATGTCGTAGGTGCGAAGTCCGGGGCTATCCCGCCATATCTGTTGTACTCATTTTCCCCTTCAACAGCCACACTTCTTATTCAGAAATACTCACTGACGGGTGGCTGATACATCATTGCCACATGTGGATATAAAATGCCCCTGCGATCTCTCGTGCGGTGCGCTCATGGTGCACCACACCATTACTGTAATTGAAACAAAATGACTGTATTTGAAAAGCGTCCCTCGCCCTCAGACTGTGCAAAGTGTATCCCTAAATATGCTAGTGGCCTGCCTTTTGTGGTTCTCCGTAGACGTATGTTTTGCAGTGACCAGTCTGTCCCACATATGCTCGTCTACATGTTAGAGTAAATACAATTAACAAGGCTAGACATACATGAAGCAAAGCTAAGCATGTCCTTAACTTTGCAGATTTGTGCGCCTACCCACCCTACAGCATCAAGATTCTTTTCCAAACAATGCGGCACAACTTGGCCAGTTTATTCTTGACCGTAAAACAACATTCAGCCTTTACCTATGGGTAGTCCTTTACGAACGAAGCTTCTTAATGTCAACGGCAATCCCTCGTCTATCCGGCGTAGCGAGTAACATCTCCCTTATCATACAATAAATGCCATTGTCCTATAAAAATGCAGGCAAACTGCGGTTCAGTGACAATACGTGTATACTAGATGGCACCATTAATTTTTTGTTGTCATCGTCATTTCTCGTCAAGTTTTTTTTGATGGCGCCGTCCCATAGAGATGTGTGCAATATACCGGTTTTGTGAATTGACAATAGATAACATTGGAAGTGCCGCTGCTCTCGGATTGGCTGCTCTGTAGGGCTATGCCGGCGCGCCTTTCATCTCTCAGTCTCTTGGGTTGTGGTCGTACGTGTTAAGACTGCGCTTGGTGGCTCAAGAGGCTGCACCAAGCGAACGCGGCGCCGGGTGCATACTGAGATGGTGCACGACAAGGACGCCATTGCGAGCTAAGCACAACGAGAAGTGAATCTAGATACGGTGCGTGCCAAGGAAGCCGCTGTGGAACCTGCTCTACGAGAAGCGGACCCTGTATGCGAGAGCGGGAAGTAGCGGCGAAACGCCCACCGTCCTGGACCGACCCAGATGCTGCCCCACGGAGGATTCATGGTATCACGAAAAAACTTCCGGAGCTTTGCCCACCTCACCATCATCCACTCCGTGGAGGTGTGGGAATTTTTTTTTCATTCCATGTGTGTGGTAGTGTTTGCTCTCATGTTGTCTCTGTCTCTTCCTTTTTTCTCCGTATTTCTTGGCGCTGAAATTTCACATTTATGCATGTTCACCGATCAACCCGACTCGCCACACTCATCAATTTAAAGCAAGAGTATTTGCGGATGATCGCGTAATTTATTCACATAGTACCACTGCTATAGATGCTCACTACTTACAATAGAACTAAGATAAACTCCATACACGGTGTGAAGATTTGCTATTGGAAATAGCGTGAACAATACAGAGCATTCAATTCTCGGCAAAATCTAAACCTGTATTATCCAACTACTCATTAAAAACACGCCCAATACTTCATAAAGATCCATCAAGTACTTGGATGTTCATTTGTCATCTGATTTGATACCCAACACCTATATAGACGCAATAGTTAGAAAACCATCTAGAATACTCGGCTTCGTTCGGTGCGCTTTAAGTTTAGCAAACACCACCACTAAATTTCTTGCTAACAGCACATTAGTACGTTTGAAAATCGAATATGCATCACTAATCTGGGACCCGAATCACGCATACCTGATTAATAAAATATGTACTCTACAAAATAAAGCTGATTGATTTGTTACCCAAAACTACCTGCAAACATAGAGTACAACAGAAATCAAATATTCAGTTGATCTCGTTCCTCTGGAAATGCGTTGGCTTGTCAGACATCTTTTTTTTCACAAAATGTATCACAATCCGTCATCATGTGCTGATATCAATAAAGCTCATTGTGCATTGTCGCGATTTCTTCATCAACATAAAGCCGAGCCCATCTTCGCCCATATTAATCTTTTCTTTAACCTCCACCACTACAAGCCATTCGTTTCTTGAATCAGTTTCCTGTTTACATCGTATTTAATACTAATTCTAAAGCATTCGTAAACAGTCATATCACTCTAACGCTTAAGTTTTCTCACGTCCGATTCCGTCTCCCTTTTTTTTCTCGTTTCCTGACACGTTGCACAATAAAGCGCAATTTGAGATTCTATTGTGTCTACTTGAATTTTGGTGTCATGTGTATTTATTGCTGAAGCATTTGTATATATCTAAGGAGTGTGTATTACTGCCATTTTCGGTATTTGCACATGTATCTGCTTTCAGAAGACATTTATCATTGCTGCAATACAAGCAATACTGTACTATCTATTTCTTTTTCTAGGTTCTGTTTAAAAATTAGTCGTTTTTTAGTTGCTAGGCTGCTTTTTGTGTTCGAGAATTTTTAAATACTTTACGGGTTTAAATTGCTGCTATATTTTATATTTGCACATTTATTTTGTTCATAAGACATTAATATTACTGTCGAGAAGATATTGCTGTCTTAAATATATGTTCTAAACTTGTGCTACGCTGCATTAGTCATAGTTTTGTCCTTCCTATGTAATGCCTGCAGGCATTTAAATAAATAAGTATCTCGCTCTTACATGCCAATAAGAGAGGTTATGGTACACTTAATGTTCGAAACATGTGACAAAGTATTTACACCTTTGTTTCGTCTCACGGCTTCCTTCAGTAAATGTAACGTATGCTTGCGGATGTGATTCTGTATCAGTCAAAGTATCAGTAAGAGGTGGGTGCTCGTCCTATTATTCGCTTCTTGTCACTGTGAGCGCAGCATGATCACCAATATGAGTACGTACCCAGCAACTCACTCTCCACTTCTATCGTTGCTTACTAAGGGGAATGAGTTACAAGGTCTGCGAAAGGCGAAAAGTGATCACAAGCGCTCGCACAGATACGAGTGATGCAAAATAGTACCACCGTTTGATGACGTATCATATCACGGGATTATGAAACCTCAGGTCAACGAAGTTTTTCACGTCGTCGTAGCGTAACATAATGTCCTCGTCACATGGAAGCCTATTTTTATCAAAGACAATCTGATCACGGAGGCGCTCTAAAACCATAGCAGGTCCAAACAGCTTTGAATGGCGGCCATCCCGTAAGCAGTGCGAATTCTCGTTGGGTGAGGTAGTCCTTCGTGTAGGCGGAGAGGATGAATACAAATGACTGAAGAAGCAATGGTGGCTTGTTTGTCTTTTGTGGTCTTTGCTTGTGTCCCATCCTCGTCGATTTTGTGCCGCACTTAGCTTAATGGACTGAAAAAGGTGCATAGGAAGGTGGATTTCGCATTCGAGGCATCTTCTCGAGAAAAACGCACAATAGACCGGGTAACGTTTTGCCTTCTGGACACACGCGAACACCCATGTATCGTTTAGGATGGGAAAAACTCACTAGGCATAAAAATACGAATGGGTAACAAAAGCAATGCAAGGAAACTTGCCGTACAGTACTCACCTACGTGCAGCTGCCATCCCGATTCCCATGCACTGGTCCCAGGCAAGGTGGCGCAGCAGGCCACACAAAAATCCTCCAGCAAGGCTGCGCGTAACGTGAAGCATTTATAACGCCTCTTTTAATATAGAAGGGATCTCGAACGCGCAGCCGCGGACCGCATTCCACTCTCAAATGGTTTGGTTAGAGACAGCAGCTTCACAAGAAATGAAATGATTGTGACTTTGTTGAATGGCGCTCCCACTATTGACCCGTCTATGGAGATTAATAGCCCTTCGTTCGGGCAAGCAATGAAAATTCTGTGGTCTCAAACATCATTTTGTGGGGCAACTGATGCAAATAACAGGTTCTGAAACATAACCGCGGTTTAATATCTCAATATTTCCTAAACATCGGCCAAATTTAGGTAATTTTGGAAAGTGATACTGCTACAATTCTGGCAACATGACGCAAAACTCTCTCAGAAGGGATAAATTTGTAAGATGTGGAAAACTGGTAATCGAAGGTGGTATCGTAAGGACACATTTAGTTCAACACTTTGCTGGTTTCGAAAGCTGCGAACCAGCAGTTATTGATAGTATCTGCTGCATCAAAATTTTGACACAGGCTTTACTGATGATTTTGCTTTTCATGTTAGGTGGATTTTTGGAGACAGCTTCTTTGCCATCAGGCTTAAACGAGTCACAGCCTATCCTGATGATGTGTGGGCGAGGAAGTGGGATCAATTGGTTTTGCTGTAAATCACCTGTGACCTTGACCATTCATGCATGTAATCGAGTGACAAAGTGTTGAGCAGTTACATGAAATCTTCATTGGACATCAATGTTGTGCTCTGTTGAGTTGTCAACTTTGTTCTTACTGATTTATGTTATAAAATCTACCCCGAGGTTGAAAAAGACGAGGTCTGTGCACGTTCCCTCGTCACGGTCGTCATCAGCGTGATCGTTGTGAAGTATACTGTGCACTTTGCCAGCTTTGTGTCGTGATGCGAGATAGAGAATGTGTGGTCTGGAACACGCTTGTTTTTCAGCGTCATCAAGAAACCAGGGCAAACTGGCTCGACCCTCAAGAGTTATATATATATATATATATATATATATATATATATATATATATATATATATATATATATATATATATATATATATATATATATATATATATATATATATATATCTATATATATATATATATATATATATATAGTGAGCGCTCACTACGTACTTCATCTGTATGACCAAACCATTGTAGTGATCAGGATCGTATGTCACGCGGGCTCGGCCTCTTTGGCTCGTGCGGCTGGTTTAAAAATATAACCTGGTTACTGCCGTACCGCACATGGTCTCATAAGTGGTGGAGCGTGCTTTGATTGCCACATCCTCCTGCTTTGCCCGTCACCCCTGGAGCTCCGGTCTAGTCAACGGCTGCGCCCTCAAGCAACAGCGATGGCAGAACCCAACGCGTCCACTGCTGCAACCGCTCCTTCTCAGCCACTTAGGCTTCACTACACCGTGAGTACATCTCACCGAGATCCTCCAGTATTTTCCGGCCTTCGTGGCGAAGACGTCGAAGAATGGCTGGACAGTTATGATCGAACCAGCGTTTGTAATTATTGGGACGAGGCGCACAAACTGCGCTACGTTCATTTTTCCTCAATGGCGTAGCTGAAACCTGGTATTACAACCACGAGAGTGACTTCTCTAATTGGTTGGCCTTCACGGGTCATCTCCGTCAGGTATTTGGCACGTCGGCAGGATGCTCTGCGGTAGCGAAACAGAAGCTCGCAACCCGCATCCAGGGGACGACGAATCATATGCGTCCTACATTGAAGATGCTCTGGCTCTCTGTCGCAGTGCACAAAATGACATGACGGAAGCCGATCGCGTCCGACACCTACTGAAAGGTATCAGCTCTGCGGCTTTCAATGCTCTCGTGATCCAGAATCCAACTACCATCCGGGACGTCATCACCACATGCCGACGCCTGGACGCGCTTCATTCCATGCGCCTTCCACACGCCTCCTGCGACACTCGCTTTACCGGAGAGCATGAATTGCGAGCCCTTATCCGCACAAATGTCAGAGAGGAACTCAACGGTTTAATTGGTGTGACTGATTTTTAACGACTGTATAAGGCGCATGACGCTGCCTTCCCTATTGAAAAAACGTCCATCATAGGAATGGGGGATTATGATGCTTGAAATACTGGTGGCCCATAGTGTATGGTGGCGCATGGTGGAGTCGTTGGTGTACGGCGCGCTCCAGCATTGACGCTGCTTCGCACTCCAGGCGGCAATGCTGGAGCGCGAAGAAGCGTTAGAACCACCGTGACGAGCTGCCACTAGAGAAATAATCAAAGTAATTGTATGAAAAACGATGTAAAAAGCGCCCGTAAAAAAAAGATGCGACAGCGCAGAATCGAACCTGCCACCTCTGGATTCCAAACTGAGCACACTAACCACTGTGCCCCGCCGACAGATGACAAACGTAGTGTTAAAGAAGTAGTGAACTCGCAAACTCACTGTTTAACTTCAGTTCTGTGTGTGGCTTACCCGAGATGGACGGGATCAGCATCTGCTACTAAAATTTGTACATTGTATATACGCGAACAACTGATTCCTGTAACAATTGTTACTGCAATAATGGTAACAGCGTTATGTTTTTGCTACAAATCACAACCGCAATAAAAAAAGAACTGAGTGGACTGAGGAGCAGGTAAACTTTATCGGCGGTTACTGCCAAGTTTAATATCCGTTTCTCGCTTCTTCCAAAGGGCGATATCTGTTCAGGCTTTATGACGCCTCTATGTTCATTCGATAGATACGCCCACACAATTGATTGTGAAGTCTTTCGTGCAACGCACAGCACCGTCGTGCCAGCACACCTCTATTTCTCTCTCGTTAAGAAAAACTACATAACGGCTTGGCCAAAATGAATGCAGTGAGCTAGAAACATTATGCTATCATATTAGTTCAATAAGCATACAGATTGACGTGTCTGTGTTCTCGCATAAGTGAAGTGCCGGTGAGTGCAACCGGCGGCTGTCGGTGTGGGGAGGCGTACATTTGGTGGAAGTGCTGCAAGTGCGTCGCATCGATGTTTGTCGCTTCTAGCGCGGACACCGTAAACAATCAAAAAGGCTTCATGTAGGCTAACTGATGCCACAACTATGCTGTTTTTTTTTTCATTTTTACTAGTAAAAATTGTGTATTCTGAAACCCAGCAGCACCGATAACACTTGTACTGGCTCTGTCGGTAGAACTAACCTTTGCTGGAAATCATTATGATAGAACAGAAGGGTTAAAGTCAAATTCGCTAGGGCTGTCTTGACGCATGTTGAAAGGGAAAATTTAGGCCTATTCGCACGCACCTTGTTAACTTAAAAGTACGGCTCTAGCAATAGAGTGTGCAGCAATTGCAAGAGTTGCGTTTCTAGCATGAAGACATCAAGTGACCACTGTGTTCTGCTCTAACATTGAAAGGGGCAAATCACGAACTGGAGCTCATTTGCTTCTCCACAACTTCGCGCCAATGTAAAACATTTATTGTCGCTGTTCACCGTGACATCTAAGTCTCCTAAACATCACAACAAGGAAACGCATCACGGATGTCAAAGTGATGTAAGTACGTGCGCGAAATGTAAACATATTCACGACCCCATATTCTACACTCTACAAACATTGAGTGTTGTTGACACCACACGAATAAAAAAAGAAACGTGCTAGAAAGCCTTATGAGCAGCGTTGTTTTTGTACTGTAAACATATATCTCTGCGCATACAAAAATGAAACACTATAAATAAGTGATTTCACATACAGTCGATCATGTGATTTTTCATCATGCCACCATCATCCACCAAGCTTCCATCATGTCACCGGCATCCACCTTGCTCACCACTCCTTCCATCAAACACGTTTTGCCTCGCCACCATCAGCCGGCATTTTCAACCGTCACCACCATTGGCTCGCCACAAGCACCACCATCTGCCACAATGTTTCCACTCTAGCCGTCATAAGCCGGCATTTTTCACCATCAGAACCATTGAACCACCACCATCTGCCATCATTTTTTCAACGCTCGCCGTTCTCAGCCATTATGCCCACTACAGTTTTCATCATATCCACTAATATTTACACCATATCCACTATTTATTCTGCCATAACCGCCAACGATTCCGCCATAACCACCAACAATTCTACCATCCACCTACCCGGGATATTTAATAGAGTTCCTTTATTTCCGCGTGCTTATTTGTAATTCGTTTGACCAGGTGGGTAGCTGCTGTAACATTACCTTTGATTTTGGGGCGCCGTTTGATCCGTCGAGAGATATGTGCATGCCGGGGATGAGTATTTTTGAAACTCGGAAAAAGCATGAACCGTCATGCGTATACAACTGCATGCTTTCACATTGGCATTGTTTATTGATTGGTCTGCGCCGGTGGCGTGGGTGGTAGATTGGGAGCTCCGATTTGAGTGGAGAGATTCAGAGGCCCGTGTTTCAGAGATAGGTCTCTATTGCAGATACTGCTGTTTGTAAGGTGCATTCTATCTGCCCATCACTTCCCTTGTCGACCCGCAGAGTGATGTCATCTGCATTCAAGGCGTGGTAGAGGCCGTCAATCTCGCCAAGGCAGAAATTGTCAAGGCAGAAACTCATTCACCGCGAGATCCATCATCTTGAGGTTGAAAACAAGCGAGAATATTATCAACCCTTGGGGAGTGGTATATTCGTCGGATGGCATACTGTCGACTATAAGGGTGAACGTGTGCAACGACAGGATGTCTCTGATATAGTTGTAGCTTCGTTTGCCCAGACTAAACTGCATGTGCAAGGATTGCTGCATGTGCTACATTGTCTAACGCTTTTTATAGATCCAGGCCGAGCATGGACCGGCTACCGCTAGTAGGGTCGTTGATTTGGAGGTGGAGCTGAGAAATGATGTCTTGTGTGGAGAGGTGTGACTGAAAGCCTACCATAGTGGGCGGGTGTACAGGTTCCCGTATCCTCTAGATGGTTTTTGATACGAGCAAAGAATGTGTGCTTCTTCAGCTTGCCAACGCAGCATGTGAGTGAAATTGGCCCTAGG